TTGTTCTTCCCGTACAATTATAGTATATATTATCTATATTTCTTATCTGTGATTCCAGGGCTTGCTTTTCAAAGAGTTCCATGTAAAAGTTTGCTATCACAGGGCTTAGAGGGCTTCCCATTGCTAGCCCATCTCTTTGCTTGTAGAATCCATTGTCCCACCAGAAATAGCTTGTGATGAGGCAATGTTCGAACAGGGCTGTGATGTCCTCTGTCCTTTGTCGGTGTCCATTATGGGGACTTTGGTGAACAGGGAGACCACATCAAAGCTGATTAGTATGTCTCCGGGTTTAAGTTCAAGGTTATTGAATTTTCCTATGAAGTGAACTGAGTCTTTGATGTGGGGGGGGGGGGTTGCCCTATATGGGTTTGTAATTGTGTGGCCAGAAATTTGGCCAAATCATATGTGGGGGATCCAATGGCACTCACTATAGGTTGGAGTGGAATGGAATCCTTGTGGATCTTGGGAAGTCCACATAGTCGTGGTGGGAGAGCCTGAGATTTGCACAAATTTTGGGCTTCTACAAACGGGTGACCCTGGGCCACCCCAAGAAGCCATGGATTGGGACCGAGGCTGCCCCACGCCTCAGCTCCGATCCACCCTTATGGTGCCTCTGAAAAGATGGCAGGCGCCTCTTCCACGCTCCTTCCGGCTCAGGACTATTTTGCAGGACGGGTAGCCAAACTTTGTTTACTTTTTTAAAATTTATTTTTATATCAAATAAATGTACAATAATACATTTGAATTCACATTCAAAGACATTAATAATGTCTTCATCCTATTGTTGTTGACATTATATAACTCCTCCTAACTGTCTCTTGCATAATACACCTTATTCTCACACTTTACCCCAGTGTTATTGTTATTCAGAATTTTCCAAGATATATCTCATATAGCTAGTAAGTATTCATGAGATTTCATTTATCCTTTCCTTTTTCCTTCTTTTGTGTTAATTCTTCTGATTTCCAATTGCACCTTTTTGTTACTTGTAACCTAATTCCATCTGTTATTGCAGTATTCATTTATTGGGAGCCACTCTTTTCTTGTAGTCTCTAAATCTTTCTGATTAAGTCGATTTGTTAAAATGTCAATTTCCTTCATTTCTGCCAATTTCATTAACCATTCATCTATAGCTGGGAGTTCTTTCTGCTTCCATTTCTGTGTCACTGGTATCCTTGCTGCTGTAATCGTAAAGTAATATTCACCAATATTTTCTTTCTGTATACATTGGTAATTTGTTAAGCATATTTAACAGATAAATCTCAGGTCTCAGTTCATAATTCATCTTTAATATCTTCCCAATCATAATATGAATCTTCTTCCAATAGATCTTCAGTTTCGAGCATCTCCACAACATATGGAACCAGGATCCACCTTTCTTGTTGCATTTCCAACACTCACTAGAGTTAGTTTTGTAAATCTTTGCAATTTTACTAGGTGTAAGAAACCATCTGTGTTCCATTTTAAAGTAATTTTCTTTTAAATCCTGAGATTTTGCGAATTTCTTCATCTTTGTCCTAGTATAATTTCAACTTTCTACTCCAATCACTTGATCACAGTCTGTTGCCCACTTTATCATGGTATCTGGTATCAAGTCATTTTCCTGTTTTCTTTTTCTCAGAAAGTTGTACAATTTTGATATTCTCTTCTTCGAATCTAATAATATTTTATCAATTTCTGATTCATTTTCTCCAAATTCTTCATTCTTTTGGTCTATTTTGAATCTTGCACTAAGTTGTAAGTAGGCAAACCAGTGTATTTTTTGGGTCCATTTCTTTTAACTCATCAATCTCCTTTAGTTCATCTTTATGACATGATGTTCTCTTTATTATGTCCTTATATGTTAGCCATTTATTCAGTTTGCTCCACCTCCCCAAAAAAGCTTCTTGAGGGGATATCCAAATCTGTATCTTTCTTTAAACTTTCTTCTTAAATTTCTCCCATACATTTAGCAATCCTTTTTTAATTATGTGATGGCCAAATTCCTTATGTATAGTTGCTTTATCATACCAGAGAGAAGCGTGCCATCTGAATCGATTATTAAAGCCTTCCAAATTTAATAGCTTAGTATTATCTAATGTTATCCACCCAGCAATCCAGTTTAGTACGTTAGCTTGATAATACAATTTTAGATCGAGTATCCCACCTCCCCTGTCTTCTCTCTTTCTAGTCATTATTTTCTAATTGATTCTCAATTTTTTGCTGCTCCATACAAATTTTCTCGTCTTTTTCCCATTCTGCTATTACTTTAAAATATTTAATAATGGGTATACTTTGAAATAGAAAATTAATTTTAGGTAGTATCACCATCTTGATTGCTTCAATTCTTCCAAATAAGGACAATTGTAGTTTATCCTCTTTTTTCCAAGTCCTTTTTAATTTCTCTCCTTAGAGGCTTATAATTGTTATTAAACAAGTCAATTTTTTTCGTTAACCATATCCCCAAATATTAATTTTGTTATTCATTTTACAATTGGTAAAATTTTCAATCTGTTGTTCTTCTTCCCTCTTCAAGTTCTTAGTCATTATCTGTGTTTTGTTTCTGTTAATTTTAAATCCTGAAATTTATCCAAAATTTTCTATTATTTCAAAAAGTTTCTCCATTTTTTGGGTTGAGTCATCTACAATAATAACCAAATCATCTGTGAAAGCTCTCAACTTACGTTCTTGTCCTTTGATTTTTAATCTTCTTACATCTCCATCTTATCTAATTTGATTTGCTAAACTTTCTAGTACAGTTATAAATAGGAGAGGGGATAGGGGACAACCTTGTTGTGTTCCTTTCTTTATTTCAAGAGTTGATGTTTTTTCACCATTTATAATCAGTTGAGCAGTTTGCTTCTCATAAATACTCTTTATCCAAGATACAAAGTTTGTCCCCATTCCCATCTTTTCTAAAATTTCTATCATGCATTTCCAGTTCACATTGTCGAAAGCCTTCTTGGCATCCAAAAATACTAGAACCAATTTTTTCTCATTGTTCCTCTCAAAATACTCCAAAATGTTCAATATAATCCTTATATTTTCTTTCATTTGCCTTGAAGGAAGGAATCCAGATTGATCTTCATTAGCATATGCCAATAACACCTATTTTAATATTTCAGCCAAAATGGAAGTCATACTGTGTATTCAGAAGAGATATTGGTCTATAATTTGATGCTTTTTTGTCATCTCTTCTTTTCTTAGGAATCAAAGTGATGTTTGCGTTCTTCCAGGTTTCTGGGATACCATTGAATTTTACATCATTTAGCGCAAACCTTGTTTACTTTAAGGGTATCTTCTTTCCTGTTGAAGTTGTCCAAATGTTTGTGGGT